ACTCAGTTTGTCTGTCTCAGTGTTGGTGCCAGTGTAATGGATAAAAAACCTCAAAATGAGTATTTCAGATCACCAACACATCTAAGGAATTACACGAGGCCTATGTTTTGTAGAATTAACTTCAATTACAATAGCAACTAACCGTGATATCACCTAAACTTGCTTATAAACTTCATCGCCATCTTGTCTCTTGAAAGTAGATGTGCCTATGATAGGCAGGGTGAACATTACATAATGACACATCCTAGAAAAATTGATAATTTAAATGGAAAATCGATCCAAATCTATGCATTAATTTAGCGATGAGCTTTGCACACCACCAAATCACCTTTCCATACGTATATCATTGATCAGGAATTGTGTCCACTACAACATTCCATACTGCCTGCACTCTAAACGAAGAATCATTATTATTTGTCAATCTTCAAGAGCCAACTGAAACCGGCTCATTCACACATCACTGACACTATATAAAGCCAATCTAACCTGTATTGTAAAGAATGAAATAGGTTATCAAGCCATATTACTAACGAGTTAAACATTATCACTCCATTTCCTAGGCTACAGTCATTGGCCTGCCTAGCCAGACTACCTTGTACTATAGTTATGGTTGCCACCATTTGAAAGCAGACACGCCTTCGCCTTTTTTGTTTGCCGCCATTTTAAAGTGGACACGCCTTCAAAAACTAGATGATCTATAGGCGGGGCAAAGAAGATAAGATAATTGTATTTTTTTGAATTCTACTTTTCTGCTTCTTAAGTTCTGGAATTCCACTTCTTAGTAGAGTGAGCTTTTTTACTTTGAAAATTCATTATTAACAAAGGGTCTTCTAGAAAAGTGATTGCCTTGACTCATTTCACGCTACTTTTTACTGTACACTGAGATTTAAATTGGCCAGTTTATTACCTTGGTTTGCGTGGACTCGCCTGCTGAGATTCACCTGAGGGATAATGTGTTACTTGTACTGCCCCCATCATGATATTATATATACAAGCAACTTGATATTTGAAAAAAGGATAATAGATTTTGACAAAGTGTAAAGTGCAACAATGCAATTACTGCACTGATCCATAAAATAAATTTTAGGTGTGGTCAGTACTTAGCAGTGCAAACATGGCACGTGGGTAGGAGAAAGAAGAAAAGCTGAAATTTATTTTAGCATCTGAAGCTCTATTCAAAAAAAGAGTAAGCACAAAAAATTTGCCTAGATATTTAAAAGAGACTGAGATAGTTTGGTTGCTCCTGCTTT